TTTTGGTTTGTTTCTCCATCTTATCTACAGTGAACGTTTTAGCTCTTGGAATGGCCAATCTCATTGGGGGGCTTTTCATCATCTGTCAAAATGTAAGTTTTAATATAGCACTTACTAAACTTTCTGTGAGCTGTATCATCAAGAATCTTCATCAAGGAGAAAAAAAGAAAAATACAGGACATACAGTTTGACAAAAATAGTTTCCAATATGTGCCATAACAAGGATATAGATTGATAATTTTTCCTTCTGGATTATTACAACTACCCCTATAACATTTATCCTATTAAAAAAATTAACAACCCCCTTGAGAGTTAGTTTTTGTAATTAGTCCTCTCTTTCTTTGTCCTCTTTAGGTTGTGTTCGGTAAGCATATAAGCTAGCTTATTGCTTATTTTGATTAGGTTATAAGATTCGTGTATTCATATAAGCTTGGTTTGGTAGGATGACCTTTTGTAAAAAGATCGAGCTTATCTCATAAGCATCCTTGGGTAGCTTTCAAATAAGCCCAGTAAAAATTTCTAACTTATTAGCTAATTTTACCAAACATTTTTATCATATAAGCTAGCTTTTCAGCCATAAGTTATCAACTATAAGCTCGAAATTCACTTAAAAGCTACAAGCTAGCTTATCAGTACATTGCATGATTTTGAATTCGAATCACAGCTCCATGAACTGAAATGCGAACGCCCAATAGAGCCGCCAGCTGGCACCCAACTCCCGAACCAAGCACCAATAACCGACCGCTACAAAGAACTCCTCGGCCGCCGCCAGAATTTCTTACTCCACGCAGTAGTTTCCGTGATATCATACCTCGTATTCGGATTAGTGCCACCTGTCACCTACAGCTTCTCCTTCCGGAAAACGGACGACAGGCAGCTCAAGCTGCTGGCGACGGCAGCTGTCACCTTTGTATGCATTTTCTGGCTGGCTATTGGGCGGGCCTACGTCCGGCGGGCCCCAAAGCCCTATTTGAGTTCGGTTTTCACGTTTGCTGTCTTGGGGTTTATGGCGTCAGGCGTGTCGTATGCTGCTGGGGCACTGGCCCAGCGGCTGCTGGAGAGGCTTGGGCTGTTTGGGCCGGGCTCGGAGAACGAGGTGGTCGGGCCTGCATGGGCTTCGTATTGAGTGGCCCAGCTTGTAGGGAAGTGCATGGTTAAGTGGTGAATGGTTTTTTGAGGGTTTTTAAGCTTTTTTTTTTTTTTTCCAGACATGTAGTGGAGAGAGTGAGCAAGAATTTGGCAGTTGTTCTGTGTTGTTTAGCCTTTTTTTTTTTTTATTTATGTTTGTTTGCTGTTATTTCTGTGTTGTTTTGTTTCAGTTCTGTACTCAAGTGAAATAAATTTGCCTGTTATTTTGGGAGGAACATTACTTCTTCTCTTTACTAGTGGAGGAAGCATTTTATCCGTTGAGGAACAATTTGTTTTGCGAGGTTAACATGAAAGTGAAGCTGAGCATCTGCCTTTTTTTGTCCTTTATATATCCTGGTAAAATATCATTTGTATTGCATTTTGGGGTGACTTGTAATAAAGTTCTAATTTTAATTGAATGTTGTGAGAGTATAAGATAAAACCAAAAAAAAAAAAATAATAATAATAATAATAAAAATAATAATAATAATAATTGTATATATGCAGATGTCTGGAGAAAGTTTTTACTAGACCATTTTAAGTTTATGAGATAAGTCCGTCCTATCAAACAAAACTTATTTGAACATAAAGAGCGTATAAATTAACCAACTAAGTTATAAGCTACTTTATTTGTCTACAGACATAGTCATAGCCGAAGTCTCTTGACAGAGGCTGAGTTGTGTGTGTGTGTGTGTGTGTGTGTGTGTGTGTGTGTTTAAACTAATTTTTTATTTATTTAATAAGTTTTACTCTTGTTAATAGTGTCAAAGGGATAGTTGAAAAGGTTCTTTGTAAGTTTGGATATGCGAAGAAATTCAGGTAAATATGTTGTCCCATAGAAACTAGAAAGTTTATAGTTAACATATAGACGAGAATGCTTTGCACTAATACGGTAAAACTGCTAAAGTTAATTTTTTTATTATTTACTCAATGTCCTCGGGCATTTTCTTCACAATCTATTGAAGGTTAACCAAATTTTATCAAATATTATGTGTAGAATATAGACCTTTAATATTGAAACGCAAGTCAAATAGAAAATGGAACACAGGTTCATAATGATATAGAAACCACCGAGCCCATCTGAGTTTTGTAATTCCTGTTTTAAATATTTTTTTGCTAATCACCTTGTCATTTTCTTCCAAGCCTCGCCTCAAATGTGCACATAGCCCAAATGTATCATTACTTACCAAAAAAAAAATAAATAAATAAAAATAAAAAAAACATATGAACAAGTGAACAACCAAAACAAGGAGGCCAAAATAACATGAAAACATTACAAGATTGAAGTTATATCTCATAAATATCAGTACACTGAAAAGACATGTAGGTACTAAATATCTCAAATAAAATTCAGATAAATTAATTCAAAGGTCCAAAGGTTCGTCCCAAAAACGACAACGTAACAAAAACAGATCCAAGACTAATGGACCCGGGTAAAGACTCATTCTCTTACCCTCTCTTCTTCGACTATTTCTTCTCTTCCTTCTCAGCCTCAGCTGCCCTCTTAGCCCTAATACCAACATGACGCTCATTCATCCTCTCCAGTCGAAGCTTGTCATAAGCCTTATACGATTTCATCTCATTAGTGACCTTAACGAGCTCAACATTCGGCTTCTCACGTACAATCGGTAGGTAAGGACCAGAAACTTGTGTTGCTGTAGCCAACTCTTCGGCAGTAGAATCACCAGCCTGTGACAGAGAAAAAAAAAAAAAAAACGGTTAATAAACGTGAAACTTTCATTTCAACTTCTCGAGTTATTAGATAGTCTGAAACGAGAAGTCAAATTATTACTTACCTTAAACTTGCGTGCACGTCTTGGGAAGACAACAAGCTTAGCCTTGTATGTCTTTAACCTCTGCACATTGGTTTGAAGACCCTCCAAGGAACGGTTTCTGCGCCTATGATCGACCGAGATGCCAATAGTTGGAGCAAGTTTTTTGGGGATTCCAGCAGCCTGGTAGACATATGAAGGAAAAAAAAAAACTGATTAAATTAACACATGATGCAAACACAAACATCTTTCAATTGCTTACAGTCGAATAGCAACAAAATGCAAATACCGACAAATATTAACAGGTGTGATCGGCTATGAATTTGATTTGGTTTTGATTGGTTTTTTTAAAAGGTGGTATGATTAGTTGTTGGTGTGATTTTGAGTTTATATTAAAATAATATTTTAAATAAAAAATTAGCAAAGATGATTTGATGTAAAAGTAGGAGAGAGATGATGTGAAGTGATGGTTAGTTAAAATTATGTGAGTAGATAAATAGTGAAATAAAGCTAATGTAATGTGTACTAATGATTGATTAGTATTATTTAATAATATGGATAATATTGAGTATAATGGGGTTGAGTTAAGTTTGAGTTTTGATTTCTTTTTAGATTGAATTTATATCCAATCACACCCAAATACGTTTAAGTTTATTATAAGATAAGCATATGGACTTAAATATTGCGGAAATTTAAAGGCTCACCTTCAGCTCCTCCAGAGAGAATCCCCTACCAGCTCTGACCTTCATGTTGTACTTCAAGGTCTGCCCATGGACAATAGGGCGTAAGGGACCGGCAGTGGGCCTCGGGAAAATCTTCACAGCTTTCTTTTGTCTTGCTGAAAGAGATAGAATCCAAAGAAACATGAAAGTTTTGTACGTTATACTTTGCTAAATTGAATGAAACAATAAAAGATAAACAGATTATATAGGAAGACATTGCTACCGATTCTTCTCCTGTGCTTGCGGGCTGGCTGGTTGAACCAAGTTTTAACATAGTTTTGCCAGTGCTTCCTAAAGTGGGAACTGGGGACAACGTTGTTGTGCTTCACCATGGCTTACCTAGAGTATACAAATGAGGAGTGAGATAAACTGTCATAAGATAATCTACTCAAGTATGTAAAACCAGAATCCAACAACAATCACTAGGCAACAAATAAAAATTAACCAGAACCAAAAGCAACCCAAAAAAAAAAAAAAAAAAAATCGACTTCAACCGATGTACAAAGTTCAATTGCTGAAACAACTAGGTTTGTTACCAGTCGAAAAGAAAGAATCAAAGGCAGCATAAACTCATAAACTCGAATCAAACAAGAGTAGAAATGCCATACAACTCCTAGAATTGAATATAGCATCGATGATCAATCAAATTCAGGGCAAATTCATGAAACCCAGGATTGTGAAGAGCAGCAAAGAACTCAAATGCACACTTCAGACGAAGATATACACAAACCACACAAACAATGTGAAAGGAACAAACAGCCACATCTCCTCAAATCAAAGGAAGCAGATTCAACTATCTCAATAACCCTAATTAAGCTCAGTCACATAAACAAAACATCAAGAACACGAGATTCAATCACCTACAAAGCATCTAATAAGACGAGAAGACAATAGATTGAAAGCTGTACCTTGAAGTTTAGCTGGCGGCGCCGGGGAACGAATAGTGAAGCAAGTCCTCTGCTCTGCTGCAAAGGTTCATCGACAAATGAAGATCAGGTTTTTATATACAGCGGGGGAAGAAATAAAACCCTAGGTCGTGGCCGGGTTTTTGCGGTTTCTGGGCCGGAAAGGCCCAACTAGCTCTGAACATTCTAGCCCAATAATTGGTTCAAGACCGAGCATTGGCTAAATTGCACATTATTGAATAATGTTGAAAAAAATATGCTTAAACTAATATCTCTATAATTTTCAAAAAAATAATATTAGCTTTTAATGAAAGGTATATGTAAATAAAAAATGTCACCTGCCCCTCATTGATTAAGAAAAGGATTAAAATATGAAAATTTACGAGAAATAACAGTACTATTTAGTATTTAGCATTTACATAAACTTTGTGAAGTTAGCGGATGACTTTCTTGTGGATGACTGGTATTTTAGAAATTCTATGAAATCAACAGATAGCTTCATTATAGAGTCGTTCGTGAATTGATGTTAACACATGCCCCCAAGTGTATTGATTTTTAGGAAACGAGTTAATACACTATTTTTGAATAACTGTGGATTAGCTTTATAAACCCTGTGATCCAATGGCTGACAGCAAAATTTGTACTGTTCAAATCCTATTACCTGCCTCACTGAAGTGTGTAGACTGCAATAATACCACCAATTCTACAGTGTTGAGGACCAACAAAGCAACATTTATATGAGAAAAAAATATACAAAATAAGTAAATTACAGGACAGTGATGAGGGGGGCCAAAAAAACAAGAATCAAACTTCACAAGTGTTCTATTAACTATTTAACTGTACAAGTAGTCATTTTGAAGTACACAACACATGATAGATAAATAAACAAACACCAATGCCCATACAACCAGACAAAGCAATATCTGCTCTTCTTTGCTTCTTTTGCAAATTTTGATGATTATTGCATTTGCACCTCTCCCAGAGCCATTTGGTTCGAGAGCCCTTCATCGTCTTCACAAGAATCACAGCCACAGGTACATGAACGAGGGGAAAAGCCGAAGCTTTAGAATGACCTTAGCCGAGATAGTTACTTTTTTTTTTCTTTTAAATTTTCCAAGAGCTAACATGTAATTTCACAAAATCAAGGAGCCTAATCTTAACCGGTTGGCCATTTTCCGGTAGGACAAAAAAAATTACGGCAAGATATCACTTTCTGCTCTGAAAATAGCATCCCTCCTGATAAACTTTCCTTTCTTAAACCTGCTCACTTTCCTCTTTCCCATAGCCCCAACTTCTTCCAACTTAGCCAGTCTATTTCTTCTACCTTCAATATCGGCCCGAATAACCCTGTCCCGTTTCTCATCCGACAGCAAAGCAAGCCTCGAGAACTTGCCAGGTGTCACTTGCCCAAGCCTCTCTTTTATATCGCTAAAAGCAGGGACCAGCCCTCGTCTTATATAGCATCCTTCGATTAGCTGCATTGAATTAACCTCAGGTGGTACAGGGCTATCTTTCAGCTCGAGGTCCAAGCAAAAAGGAGAGTCTTTCAACCACATCCTCAAAGAATGAGATTTTGCAACGAGAACCCCGGTTCGGGTT